CTCTGGCGCCGGCTCCGCGAGCAACTTGACTTCGGTCCCGGGGCTCTCCACCACGTTACTGTCGCTGCCCGCTTGCCCTGAGGAGTCCCCGCTGCTCGGTAAGGACTTGGCGCCAGTCCGAGGGCTGGGACTACACCGGATTTACCCACAGCGTTCTCGGGACGTTTCTCCATGCCCTCTTCCACAACAGCCAGCCTAGCCTCCCTATTCCGGGTCAGAGTCCTTAATCCCAAACAGAAGCTCCGGGCTGGATGGGAGAGACAGGTCGGGAGGTGGGTCCCTTTGCGGACGGTTGGAGGCTGGGGCCTGGACCTATAGAGAAGCCCGCAGATCCCTCTGGCCCTCAAACCAGAGAAGGCCTTGGAGACTTCCTGCTCTGAACCAAGACTCAGGAAGTTTTGGAGTCTGCGTCTGCTTAGGGCTTGGAGCAGGCTTACTTTGCTAACTCCGGTAGGGACCTCGAGACAGCGCAGAGTAACCACTCCCGTCTGGGGGACTGACGGTGAGGCCCTCAGTGGGAAAGGAAGCTGACCTCTCAGTTCACATCTGTCTTCCCATAGAGCCAGTCTCCAGAGAGTAGGTTATTTTTTCTCTTGAGCCTTTGAGCAAGTGACTTAACTTCTTTCTACACCTCCAGTTTCTCTTCTGGTAAATAGGGATAATATATAGTACCTATTTCAAGGGGTTGTTTGGAAGTTTAAATGAAATATCATAAGTAAGGGTTTAATTAATGATGGTAAACCCTCAGTAAATTGTTACGTTCATTTTACGTGCATATTGCGTTCATTTCCTCCTCTGCACAGTTCTCTGGCCTTGGGCCTTCCCCCCTTGCTTCCTCTCTGCATAGGTTCCCAGAACTGAAGAGCAGGGCCCTTCCAGGGACAGAGGGCATGTGTATCCTGGAGGCTGGAGGGCTAATATATAACCAGTCAACAGGGGGATGCCCGTTCTTGGTACTTTTGGTATCAGCCACCGGATTCTCAGTTATTTTACCCAGTTGGGCTGAACCCTGGCCTCTGTCCTGTTTCAGTGTACAAGGGAGCTTGGGCAGGTGGGTTTGTATTCCTTATGGCAGGAGGAGGCTGAGCCCAGCCTGGACCTCTCCTTGAGCTATGACCCACAAGCCCGCAGGCCCAAGGCAGCCTCAGAATGCTTCCAAGGTCACTGGACAGGTGGCTGCTCATTCCTAACGCCAGGTTTTAGAGAACAGTGTTCTGAGTGAGGGGCTCTGGCAGGCGGGCAGGCATCCTGCCAACCGGAGCTCCGTCACTTTCGCTCAGAGCCCTGGCAGAGCAGGCCTTCCTATGCGCTCTTGCTCAATTTCTCCAAAAATTACTTCAGTATTTTCATATCGAGTTTGGGAGGAACTTCTTGGAATTGGTCAGACATGAACTGTGGTAATGAGAGGGACTTTTTTTTAAAATCAGAAAGTTGAATTCCTTTACATTTGATGGTTAGTCTGGAAAGCAGACTAGCTCTATAAAATGTAGACTCTGCCCTACTGCTAAGTGTCTGACTTCAGGCGTGATATAGAGTTTCTTAGAGGTTCTTTCTTGTGTGTAAAATGGGGTTGAAAATGCTTACCTTACAGGGTTATTTTTAGGATTTAGTGAGATGTGTATATTAAAAATGTGGCACATAATGGTACATAGCAGCAAATAATAATATAGTAATAATATTTTTTTAGGGGCTTGAAGTTCCATTTTCTCAGACTCCCATGGAGATGGCTGTGAACAGTAGAGAGTAGGGGGGCACAGTGAGTCCCTAGACCACAGAGAGGCCGGGTTTTTTGCTTTGGGTTGTGTGTGTGTGTGTGTGTGTGGCCACAGGGCTCAAACCCTGGACCTTGGTGTTATCAGCGCCATGCTCTAACCAACTAACCAGCTAGCCTTGCTTTTGTTTTTAATTGCTGCCTGGATGTTGTGCAGAAAGAAAGAGAAATTAATTAGCAAATTAAAGTACCCCAAAGTTAATTAGATTGGTGTTTGAGGTATAGGGTCTTCTCACTGAAGCATGACAGAAACGGTGATGACCACGGCTCTGCTTTGTTTCATTTTGTAATGGTGTCACTGATGATCAGCTTGTCACCAGTTACTGGTGTTTCTAAATTGACTCTGAACTGGCCGCAGGAGAAGACTTCCTGAGAGAGAATGTTTTAGAGGGGAGGAGAGAGGGCCTTTTCTAGCTTGGCTGCCCTCATGTGACATGCATGAGACCTGCATGCCTGATGTTTAGGCTGCTGCTGAGGCATCCCCAGAAATGAGGCTCATTTTAGTTGAGCGTTTAGATCTGAATGGTTGGGTGCAGCTCTTGGAGTGGAGACTTCTGGCTAGAAGGGCCCTTGAGAAAGCAGAAAGTCTCCCTAGGAGTGTGTGGGTTGGTGGAGGTCGAGCCCACCTGTTCATGGGCAGGTGTCAGCCAAAGCCCTTGTGGGGTGGTTTTGAGGTCGGTGGGAGAAACCATCCATGGGGTTAGAGTTGTGGCCTTTTCACTACTTGCATTTCCTTTCCCCTACTTGGCTCTACTTTCTGGTGTCCAGGGGTCTGGCCAGATGTTGAGATCCTTCTCAGCTACTAGGTGGTAGGTTATGGGCTAGCCCTTCGTGTCAGCCAAAGCCCTTGTGGGGTGGTTTTGAGGTCGGTGGGAGAAACCATCCATGGGGTTTAGAGTTGTGGCCTTTTCACTACTTGCATTTCCTTTCCCCTACTTGGCTCTACTTTCTGGTGTCCAGGGGTCTGGCCAGATGCTGAGATCCTTCTCAGCTACTAGGTGGTAGGTTATGGGCTAGCCCTTCATGGAGGAAGTAAAACACCAGACTGGGCTGCTGATGGGTCATAGTTTGATCTGTCACTAGGTTGTCAGATAGACTTGGGTTAGAATCCTGCCTCTGTCTACACTATCTGTGTCACACGGGCAGGTTACAATGTTTGGAGCCATAGTAGGCCCTGTCCTGGTGCCCTCCTCCTCCCCATGGGCTAGTGTGAGGCCTCCTGGATCGAGTGCTGCTGGGGAGAGGTGGGCCTTTCTTGAGGATTCCTACAACTTTCCCCAGGGAGTTCTCCCAGGTAGTTTAGACCTTCAAGTGCCATCCTCTCTCCTTAGCCCTGTGTCAGGCCCTCAGGGGGGCCATGTAGCATCCACTCCACTGACCCTGGCAGTAAGGTTCCCTTTTCTGGCCACCTGGGTGTTTGCCTGAGATGGGAGGAGCAGTGGCCTTGCATTTCTTTTCTTGGAATGTTTATCTCTGCTCAGATTTGGTGGCAGCTCAAAGTGACTTGACTGGCTATGGCACTGCCAATCCAGAGAAGGGTGGGGGCAGGTGGGTAGCACATAAGGCTGAACTAGTTAGCCAGCAGAGCTGGCTGGGTATTCAGCTGGGACCTGGTGAAGTTGGTACAGTCCTGTCTGTACCAGTGGGGGGTGGGGGTGGGGTTCCGGAGTGCTTAAACCCCAGAGACCCCTCTTGCCCAGATGTGCTTTGAGGAGATACTCTTCATTTGTTGGATTGAAGGGAAGATTCTGATCTAGAGGTGGGCACCTGAGCCAGCAAACGATAGCTGCTGGTAGCCAAGGCCCCCAGAGAGTACTTGTCCACGAGTCAATTTTCCTGGTTTTTATGGGGGCTTTCCTTCTGAGCCTCTGCCACAGTTTGTGCCCTAGCACTTGCTAGATCTCTGCTGGGCTCTTGGCTCTCGATTGTTTCTCTACCAGCATGCTTTCCCCCCTTCCCCCATGTGTACACATGTGGACACAAGCAGGTCACCCAGGACAGAGTGTACTTTGAGGCTTGAGAAAGGGCTTTCTTGTCCCTTGGGATTGGGGGAGGCACAGGGAGCCTCACCTGTGTCTAGATCTTGAAGCTTAGGCTTAGGTAACTAATCCTTTAAACTGGTTTTGTCCTGTTGTTGTTTTCTGGGGAAAATCATTTACTGACATACACACATGCACTCTTTGTCTAACAGTCTGAGATTGAGAAATACCCTCCATGACTGACTCGTTTTCATGGTGAAACACGGTTGCTTTCTCCCACACAGTCAGGCAGTCCCTGCCTGTTGTGATTCATTCCAGACTCAGCAAGCGCAGGAGCTGCGTCCTTCCGCAGTAGTGCCTCTGATGAACCAAGTGGAAACTCCATGGGGTATGGGGAGCACGTGCCAAATGTGGTATTGGTTTCAAACTACAGCTTCTGGGAACCATAGCTTCCCAGGACAGGACCATCCAGTATTCTTCCCTGAGGAGCCCAGTAGACTCCTAGTGCAGAGGCTCAGGGGTAGCCTGATGTGGCCTGGAGTTTGGGAAGAAGATCCTTGTAAGGTGTGTCTGTGGGCCCATCAGAAATGTCTTGTATGGTGGTCTTACATGGTTGTCCTTGATGGCTGAGGCATCTGGTAACTTTATTCATTCAGTTCTGACAATGTGTCTGTACTGTGCTGGGCACTAGAGCTACAGAGAAGACAATATGCCTTCCCTGTAGCAATTCTCCATTTAGGCAGGGGAGGTGTAATTAAACAGTGCTGATGTCATTTAGGGAGACCAAAGTATGTGTGTTTGTTTTTTCCTCTCCCTTTCTCCTCCCTCCCTTCCTTTTTTCCTTTCTTCTTTCATAAACCTAGAATTGATGTGAAAGTTCTCCAGTTCTAGTTTTATTCGATTGTGTGAAAATTTTCCTCTAATTTCTGAAGCTACGCATTAGCTCTGTTGGGTAATCTTTAACTTGCTGCTTTGTAATGATTATAATGAGAAAACAACAGCCATATGCCTGGATGTTTTGGTCTTTGGGTAGCAGCAGGGTAGGGATTTCCAGGCTAGAACTAGGCTAATTTATGGGTTGGGAATGATGGGCAGTTAATGCCAAAGCAGTCCATGCCTTTCCACAGATTCCACCCTGGGGGTGACCATCCAGACTCTGGGAGCAGGGTCGGATGGCTCATCCTCTTTGGGCTCAGCTGGACTATGGATATGTATGAAAGAGGCCCAGTTATTCTGTAGTTAAACGTGGTGATTTCTCCACTGCACATGTACCCAGTGCCTTCTCTACCTTGTTCCCCACTCTTTGTTCCCTGCCTGTTCCTGCCGAGAATCAGAGACTAGAATTCTG